AATAAATCAAGAAATCAGCCGGGCGTGGTAGTGCATGCCTGTAATTCCGGCTACTTGGAAGGCTGAGGTGGAAGGATTGCTAGAGCCCAGCAGGTGGCCGGGAGCGGTTACTGCACTCCAGTCTGGGCGACAGAGTGAGCAACTCAAAAAAAAAAAAAAAAAGTCTGGGGAAACTTTTTATGTGAAAATTCTGAAATCCTCTTGAAGAAGTTTTCAAATGGTTATTGTAAAGGGAAAACAACCCTTTTGCTTTTCAAGGTGCTTCTACTCTCAACAGTAAACTGTGTCAGGTATTGGAACACCGTATGTTCTTTCGTCCATAAGACATTCAACAACAATAGCAATTGTAGAAATTCAATTTTCTTTCAAAAGTGATGCTCACCTACACCCCTCAATGACACACTCAGATAAAGTGAATTCACAGAGTTAGAATTCACAATGCTGGGAAACTGGGAAATACTGACTATCTGCAAAGACACTCATCCACCTTCCTCCTGCCCAAGGTCTTACCTTCTGTGTCGTCCCCACTGGAGATGTTTTCAGAATTTGGGTCACTGCTGGGCCCTGGTTCACTGGGCATGTACCCCTCAGGAGGCAAACTTACAGTGTAGAGCCGCCTGCCAGGCAGAATCTGGGTGTTGTTCTCTGTAAAGGAGGAGGACGACATGAAATGGTGAGCATCATGTAACACGATCAGACGTTTATTTGCCCGGACCACATCAGCATCATTTCTTTGAAGACATGAAATCAAACAGCTCAATACAACCTAACCACTGTCATAAATGTGGATTTCAATATGCCAAGTATTCTGTCAGAGGAGCAAGTCAGCGATATATACAGCCAGAAAAAAAGAACCATCTGTGATTGTTTGAATTCACATGAAGTCACCTGTCATGTTAACTTCTGGGTTTTCATAATATGAAATAAGAACCTAACTAATTCATGAGCATGAAGCAGAAAATATAAATAGCCCAAATAACATATCCTTTATCATACAGCATACCCTTTACGGATCTCTCAGTATTTTAGTGCACAGACTTGCAAACCTCTTTCTCCATATGTACTAACAACATGCACGTACTGTGTGTGCGCATATACAGACAACACACAAACACACTGACACAGACACACTCTGCCCAACAAAGGTCAGTGTCCTTTGTTTAATCTTTGTATTTTCACATGGAATATGGAAGGGATGCTCTTGCACAAGGCAAACACACACGGGCATCCCAGCTGGCCTTTCACAGAATAATGTGCATTTTATTTTAAAAACAACAATGATGGAAATTGAACAAAATCACTAACACATATAATGGAACGTGTGGTTTCAAGATACTTAAATGTAGAGATATTAAATGTAAAAATTTTGAAACACTTTCAAGTTCTGCTGACATCAATATATTTCACCCTAGGGAAGGTGCCAGAATCCTAGTTCTTAAATTAATCTGATTTGTCACTATTGATTATTCACGATGTTGTTCCCTGCCAAAATAAAGTGCAGATGGGGACAAGTGTCTAAGCACACCATCCTGTCAGCAACACCAACGTCTGACCATTTGATGGAGATAAGCATCTGAGCATACCATCTCCTATCATAACATCAACATCTGATCATTTGATGGAGATGAGTGTCTAAGCACACCATTCCCTATCATAACACCACTTGATGATTTTTAATAGAATATTTTTGGAAGCTTTTAATCACCTCAGTTTTTCTTAATAAGAAAGTAAATCAGAGCTTGGAAACACCATTGTTCACTTACCATCAGGATGAACATGGTAAGTAGCAGAAAAGTGAACAAAGCACAGGGTGGCTCACACAACAGAAAAGTACAATGCACCTAGAGAATGACTTCCAAATGCAGGACACCAAGGAGATGGCTCTCATCCGGGAAGCCACACACTGGCTTTACGGCTGGGTTTTCAAGCTATAGATGGTGACATTGCCTCATCAGAGGTGTTGAGAAACAGGTATTGAGAAACAGAATATTGCTTTGGGCCTGTTTGTTAGTCTGCAAGTCAAGGCGACCAGGAAATCTATAATAGCCCTGGTTCTACTTCCTTGCATTCTTCTGGGTAGCCTGTGGATTGTTGTGAGGACATCTGCCCCTTGCACAAGTGAGATGGTACACTATTTGCTCAGAAGTGACAAGAAGAGATTAGTTATACTTCATAGGGTTGCCAGCGGCCATTGGAGTCTCAGCCCCATTGTCATCTCTGTGAGGTGGAGGATGCAGCAGCTGTGAGCACAATCCTTGGACAGCAGATCCCCACATAAGAGTCACAGACACTACTAGGAGGAGATTGGAATCCATCTCCCTGCCAGTGAACGGGAGAAGCAGAGGAGAGCTGGTGACGGGGCACTGCATGCAAGCACAGATGTGACTGAACCAGCACCAGCTGGGTGGCTGGCCCTGCAGGATGTCCATTCAGTTGAGGCGAGTCAATCCCTCATTTGGAGCCATGAGCCCCCAGGCCCACTCCCTCGTCTTCTTCCCCCCCTTCTCCTGTTTTTCTAGTTGTGGTTCCTCAGGAGCACCCTCCTCTGCAGAAGACCAAAGAGACGTGCTCCCTCCACCCATATGCTCCCCGGGGCCACTCCTGGTGCTCTGGGAGCTGATGGCAATGGGGGAGCTCACGGCTGCCCTGTGCCCACTGCAGGGGCAGGATGGGCTCCTCAATGTCCCTATGTTCCCTGACACCTCATCTGTCCCCTGCATGGTGCCCATACCCTTATTCACAGCTCCTCCTCTCTCCCCACATGGCTCCTGCTCTTGTTTCACCACAAAAATAATGAAATCTGAGAAGAGTTCCACAGGGCTTACCCACCCTCCCCCACCCCCCTGCCAGAACCACGACAGACCCAGTTCCTCTACCCCATGCCTGGCCAAGGCCAAGGCCAGCCATTTCTTGCCTCCCAGAAACAATTCAAACAGCTTTTCTCTCACTCTCCCCCTTTCTCTCCACCGCTGCTCCATCAACCTGCTCCCACTCACTGCATCTAACTCCCCAATTCTTTCTGGAGCCTCGACAGGGCTCCTTCGTGCCACCAGCTTCCCTCCCAGGGGGTGCCTGACATCACCATTTACTGTGGATTCTTCCAGGGCTACCTGTGTATATATACGTTCACAAAACCAGGTCTGGGCTTTCCAGTCTAGTACCTCACAACTCACCACCACCAAGTGTTTAAAATGTGATGGCAAACAAGGTTATTCAAGCTGGATGTGGTGGCTCACGCCTATAGTCCTAGCCACTGGGGACAATTGAAGCCAGTTGTTTGAGACCAATCTAGGCAACAAAATGAGGCTCTATCTTTACTGAAAAGTAAAAAAATCAGCCAGGCATAGTGGCATGCAACTGGGGTTCTAGCTGTCCCTATGTCCCCGGGGATGCTGAGGTGGGAGGATCACTTGAGCCCAGGACGTCGAGGCTACAGTAAGCTATGATCATGCCATTGCATGACAGCATAACACCCTGGATGACAGAGCAACACCCTGTCCCTAAAAAAAAAAAAAATTAATAAATAAAAATGTCTTGGATGATTAAGAGAGTAAAAGTCCCACCATGTATCCCTAAAATAACCCCTATTAAAAATTGCTTTAATTAATTTTTTCCTATACAGTAGGATATTTTAAACTAAGTTGCCATCAAACTGCTCAAATGGTTGTAACACACTTTCCTCATGTGTCAAGGGCCTTGGCAACACCCACATGTCCTACACAACCTGATCCTGATGCTGAACACGTTCATTTCAGGGGTGCAGCTTGGTCCATCCACAGAATGCAGCTGCTCAGTATTCAGATTTCTCACCCTCAGCTTTTATGAAAGTAGCCTAATGTCAGCTGTGTGCTCGGCCTTCTGGAGAGTGAAGGTGAAACTTGGCTCAGACTCCCAGTGATGGCCTGCAGGCTGGAAGCTCAGGGCAACACTCCCTCCTCATCTGCCCTGTCCCGTGGTTCCTTCCTCGTCCCCTCATTGTAGCACCTGAGACCCAGCACCTGAGACTCAGAGACTTGAGGGTGGGTGAGGTGTCAGAGCAGGCTCTGCCTGGTCTTTGCTATTCTGTACCCCTCTGCCCCTTCTCCTGCATCCCACACACCTTATGAAGTCATGCAGCACCAACACCAGTACCCTTGGCAAACCAGGCAGGAGTTGCTCGTGAGAGGGAAGGAAGTGGAGTGGTCAGCGCAGCAGGGTTCTCTGAGCAGGGGTCAGTGTCAGGATATAAGGATGGTGGCATGTGAAGTCTGAGAGAGGGAGTGTAGCAGGCAACGGAGGAAGGGCAATGTGGGCTTGAGCATCAGGAAAAGTGTCCTCAAGATGGGGAGAGTGGGGTGGGCAGCTGCATATACCACACTTTATAAGCTATACCAGGGCAAAAATCTCTGAGTCTGGGGACAGCCAGGTTGAAGTTTACTTTGGAGGCCACAGACATGTATATGTGTGGACACAAAAGCCGCAGGACCTGGGAGGGGTGTGGACAGAAGTCTGTGAGCGCGTTCTGGGCACTCCAATATGCAGGGGAGGTGGGTACAAGTCAACTTACCAAGCAGAGAGGAGTTACTGGGTCAAAGACATAAAACTTTAATACCAGCTGTAAAACATCCCTCCAGGAAGGCTGTACTAAGTGACTTTTCTATCAGTAATTCCTGAATTCTCAATGACAAGGTGGACATTGAAAAATCAGATACTTAACGAAAACTCCTTTCTCAATTTTGCTGGCAAAAAAGTTAACAACTTAATGATTGTCCTTATCTAAGAGTTTTACATTTCTAGGGAGGTTCTCTTAGGGGTCATCTTATAAGGGAAGCAGTACACAACTGCTCTCTCTCGTGAAGTCCTAAATTTCAGGTCAACTGAGGTGGAGGATCACTAGGCTGCAGTGAGCTATGACTCCACTACTGCATTCCAGACTGGGCAACAGAGAAAAAAAAACAACAACAAACCCGTCTCTAAAACACAATTTCAGCTCAAAAGTCCTCTGCACATTTGATTCCATTCTACTATAGCCCCAATTATCTTAATATTTATATAAGATAAATATTTACTTCATTTTTTCCCTCTACATTCAGATATTTTTAACTAAACTGCCAAACTGCCCAGATGATGTAGCATGCTTTGGTTTCAAGGTTGGTTATTATCAGGAGAAAAAGAAAATTGAATTTCCTATCTGGGTAGGATAACTGGCAAAATGCTACTGTGGAGTGCCAATCACATGAGACTGAAGAAAGTGGACACCACAGCCAGATACACATGCTGGTGGCTTTCTTCTCCCTTGGAACCAGAATAGTTCATGTCATTAGATCTACATAAGTGCATGGCTGCAAAGCACAGCACGGTGTCTTCAGCAGAGTAAAGTCCATGTAACATCGCTGAGTGCTGCCAATGGCTCCACTGGACAGCCCCGCCCACAGGTATCCCTCACCACAGGGTTTATGGGTATGCCACACCCCTGGTCCTCCACTCTCTCAGGGAAATGATGGCTCACCCAAACAGGCACTCCGCAGACAAGCAGGACTACATCATTTCCCTCCTGATTTTCATCAATTTAAACAACTCCAGCATCTGAAATCTCAACACATGCTTGCAAGTGCATGCCCACCCACACTGTACATGTAAACATACGTGCACACATCTACATCACA